GGGGCGCTCAACCTGTGTAGGTCCTAACACCCCAGTATAGTAAAGGGGACTGTATACTGCTCAGTGTGCGCCGTCTTTCAGATGAGACGTTAAAGCAAGGTCTCGATTCTCCCAGGAAAAATCCCAGGATGTTCTTCGAAAAAGAGTAGGGGTTTAACATTGGCTTCCTGTCCAAATTTATCCCCCGGCCTCTGTCCATCATGGCCTCCTAACCATTGACATTCCGCGGCATGATTCGCGTAAATAAGGTGGCACAAATCACGCGAATTGTGTCATTAGCATTTTTGACATGCTTAACATGTGTATCACACATTACGTGTGAATCGCTCGAGATGGAAAATCTGGACTTCAACTTCGGACATTCGCGCCACTGTAACCAATCATGAGCTTACTCATGTAGGGAAGTGATTATGAATGTCGGTTGTTGGTGTCTAGAGGGGAAATCCTCTTGCAGACACCGGACAACAGTTCATCAGACTGGGCTCGCTGTTTTTCAGCTTTGCTAAAGCACATAATGCACAGCTATTCTCTCAATAAAATCCTTGATAGCCATTTAGCAACAAAGCTAGAGTCACAGGGCAGACAGAACTTAGCAGGCACACAACATCATAAGACGTTAATATTAGGTTGGATTTATGTCTTGACATCAGGTGACCAAAATTCATTGTCTAGCCAGTGTCTAAGGACGTTTGTTAACATCCAATAATGACGTCAAATTATGTTGATATTTGGTTGCTTTTAGGTTGTGTTGGAAAGTGACCAAAATCCAACGTATGATAGATGTCATAGTAGAAACGTCCACACAACATCAGAGTGTAACATGAATAGAGGTTGATATTTGGTTGATTTTAGGTTGGACATTGACATCAGCCTGATGTTGGGTCAACCCGATTTTCATTCCCAGACAAAATGGAATGTCCCGGACCAGGGGGGTTGAATCAGAGCACTTACTCTGGTCCCCCGGGGCTCTGCGATTGCTTGGGAAAATTTCTAATTAAACCAGAACAAACCATCACAATTGGCTTAAGATTGGCAAGCACATTTCAGGACATTGCAACCTGCAGAACCTGGGAAGTAAAAAAAAAAAAAAAAAATCCAACGTCCCCACAACGTTGGGGTACAACGTCAATATGATGTCTTCTGTCTTCTGCAGGAAAGCCCATAACGTGATTCTGCGTCTATTGAGAAGTAAATTTGAAACGTCGATGAAGCGAATTTGATGCGTGAATAAAGCGAACAAACTCAAACTGTTCACGTGTCTGTTTACACAGCGAATAGTGCTATTTATTTGCTTGTGCTGTGTCTGGTGTGAACACAGCATCTTGATCAATAGGCACGCTTGTTGTTGATATTTCGTCAATTTGCCAATCTGTATGTGTGTCAAGTCATCAAAGGAGGGGCCGGGTAAAAAAAACTAATATTTTGAATTTCGTCTGCGATACCTAGTTCAATCACTAGGTGTCAACCCTACATACTGCACCTTTAAAGATATCCAATACACATTTTATTTTTTAATTTTTTTATTTATTTGTTTGTTTGTTTATTTATACTGTTTTAAGTGACCTTTATGCGTTAAAATGAAACCTAAACAAGTGCCACATCTTTGCACTAGATTGACTGAATGAAGATATATAAAATGAAAACTTTAGATTGTAAATATGTGCATGCATTTTTATTTGTAAATACAGATTGAATAAGACTGGCAAACTGTACATAACATATTGTACATTTATAGATCCACATTTTGAAAATGTGAAATGTTTTATGTATTCAATTCATCATCTACATCTATACAGTTTTTCATAATAATCTTCTTTTTGACCATATTGCATAATTGTCCCATTAAAAGTCAGATTTTGCTTGTATGAAGTATTTGATGACAGTTGTTTGAGAATCTGCTCTCCAACTCTTTGCTGATTTAAGGATAATCAGAAATCTGCATGCCATGTACAATTTGTAGCACTGTTTGAAAGTTTTATGATAGCAGTACATACGAAAATAACCTTAATTTTGTATGATAAAGTGACTCTGTAGAAGACAGAAGTGCAGTATTTTTGTATGAAAATGATGAACATCTTTACCAAAATGAAGATCTATTATCAAGAGAAATGTATTCTGTGCTGGACTGTAGCCAAACATTTTTCATTTTGTATGTGCAGCCTTTTTAAGGGAAAATATATGATTTTTGTTGTCTAACAATACCAAAACAAATCTCAGTGCTTTCTACACAGATAATACTGTATATCCGGTGTAGAGACTGTAACTAGTTACAATGGTACTAACCAAACAATAATAGTATTAGGATCTGTCCTTGCTTGAAATAAATTAAAGGAACACTTCTTTTATTTTTTTATAGGGTTTTTTTTGCTGGAAATATTTTTTGGGGAAATTTGGAAAGGCTCATTTATGCTCAAGTCCCCTAGACTTTCTGTTTTTAGGAATCCATTCAGCTGATCTCCATGTTAGCCAGGAGCACGTAGCTTAGCATAAATCATTTAATCCAGTTAGACCACTAGCAACACACTCAATTAAAAACTGTAGTTTTTATTTTTTTTCCTATTTAAAGCTTGACTTTTGTAGTGTACTAAGAATAATGGACATTTTTCTAGGTTGATATGGCTAAGAACTATGCTCTCATTTTGACATAATAATCTGCATAATATGATTGCGTCTGTTTCTGCCATGGTACAACAGCTCTAGCAATATACATAGAAAATACTTTTTGTCGCCACAGCAGAATGAATCGCCAACTTTTCCAGCATGTGCTTTATGCAGCTGATACCCTTCCAGCCACAACCCAGCATTGGGAAACACCTATACACTCTTGCATTCACACCCACAAATACACTACAGCCAATTTTGCTTATTTACCAGCTCGTACCAGCGACCTTCTTGCTTTGAGGCGACAGCGCTACCCACTGCGCCACCGTGTCACCAAAATAGCAACTTTTCGATTTATATTGGTCTTAGTACACAATGTATCTAGAACAGTCAAGCTATAAATATAGGAACATTTTCTTTCTTTCTTTTTTTTTTTGATTGAGGGAGATGCTAATGGTCTAATCCAATTCAATGATTTATGCTAAGCTAAGATAAAAGTGATCCCACCAGTCCCAGAGATTGTCTGAATGGATTCAAAAATAAAACCAAACAGTTTTAACTCTATGTGACTTGTAAAATGAACCCATTTCAGAAAAAACGTGGAGTTCCTTTAAATAATTGGAATTCTTTTATGCTCTGTGTTGGCTTGCTTACCAAAACTTTGTGAATAAAATATATCAAATTGTAATCAGACTGGTATCTTTGTTATGTGTGATTAAACCAGTTTCAGTGATGTTTTTTTGTAGGCTTGATGAGACATGTTCACCAGTCATTTATCTGAAATTCGAGTCAAGTCTTGATCAGTCCTTCCATTCCTTCTGTAAAATAAATGATCATACTCAAAAATCATATTACCCAGACACATATGTTTCAGAGGTAAGCAAGGGAATCTACTGACTTTAAAAGTTATTGTCTATTAATTAAAGCACCCTTGTAAAAACATATTGGAATTTCAGTTCATCCTTTATGATCCTATAAGATTTTAATGGATTCATCAAATTCTAATGGACTTTTAATTTTTTTTATATTTTATGGAATTTCACTTTGTCTTATAGGATTTTAAAGTCCTTTTGGTCATTCTGACTTAATTTATTGTAATTTCCACTTTGTCCTATAGGATCTGTTTTAGATTTTTTGAATTATAAGACATTGTGTTTATTATGGACTTTCACTTTGTTCAATGGGATATTTTTGATAGGATGATTTTTCTTAAAGTAATATTATAATATGAATATATAAAAATGCATTCATTCATTTCCTTTTCGGCTTAGTCCCCTCATTAGGATGGGGTCGTCACAGCGGAATGAACCACCAACTTTTCCAGCATATGTTTAACATCAATTTGGTCAATTTTAGCATACCCGATTCACCAGTACCACATGTCTTTGGACTTATAGGGAAACCAGAGCACACCGGGGAACCCACGCGAACACGGGGAGAACATGCAAACTCCACACAGATATCTTTTCTTGTTAAAACGACATCCTTTCCTGTTATAACGAGATCCTTTCTTGTTAAAACAAGATTTTTTCCCATTAAAACGAGATCTTTTCTCGTTAAAGCATATTTTCACCTTACAACGAGATATTTTTTCTTTAAAACGACATCTTTTCTCATTATAACGAAATCGTTAAAACATCTTTTCTCGTTATAACGAGATCTTTTTCTCATTAAAACGAGATCCTTTCTCGTTAAAATAACATATTTTCTCGGTATCTTTTCTCGTTAACGAGATCTTTTCTCGTTAAAACGAATTTTTTTTTCACGTTATAACGAGATATTTTCTCGTTATAACGGCATAATTCGTTGTTTCCACATAACTAAGTCATTTCGACATGAGCCACAAGATGGCAGAAGAAGACAGCTCAAAGTGCTTTAAGTATCTTTAAGGTTCCGAAATTATAAAGCGTTATGGGAATTCACCAGGCAAAATAATTCATATAACGTTATAGCACTGATGTGTTCACTTGTTGTTCCAGAATACTCTTTTGACATTAAATGTAACCCATAAATAGCTGTAGCCTTTTTGCAAGACATGATGTTCGATAATTAATTTATTTAGCAATTTTGTAACGTTTTAACTGCCTATATTGCATCTTTATTTATCACATTTGGTTTATATGAAAACATCCCGACCAGTTACTACATCTATTTGCCTCCAAAATTGATTCAGTCTTTCCAACGCTCCATCATGCCCGACTCCAAGCACATTATTACGGTGACGCATTGCTGCCACACACATACACCACTGTCTGCTATATAATGTGTTTGAGCGCTAATATAAAACTGAATTCGTTATTTGAAACCAGCTGTTCGAAAGGGCCGATTCTCAGACGAGTCAGAGATACGTCAACGCTTGAAAATGTCCTATTTGGCTCTCCGTAGTAACTTTGAGGCTCACGTGATCATAACAACACAAATTGCCGCGAAAACTTCTGAATAACGCTGGAAAATTGCTAGCTGTACTTTATCTTTAAAAAGCTTTCAAACAAGTTTATAATGTTCTGCGAAAAGTCAGTGGAGCTCATTAGAGAGCTTCATCGGATGGGCGACGGCCAGCTGCCTGCTTTTAATGTAAGTAAAACGCTTCGTACGGTTATTTTGTTGCGCTGTGTTCACTAAAAGACAAAGTTAGTAACACTTGACCGCAATTTAATAACGTTAGTGACAACTGTTTATCATTAGCACATGAGTGTAACGTTAGACTCATACCGGGTTGTCCCTGGTTTTCCACAGGAAGACGGTCTTCGGCAGGTTCTGGAGGAAATGAAGGCTCTGTACGAGCAGAATCAGACTGATGTGTAAGTCGTGTGTCTCTCCATCACAGTAACTTTAGAGTTGTTTCTTTAACGTTACTAAGTACGTTAACTTTAAGTGGCAAGGTATGTGCAGTGTTATTACTTATAAAACATCTATTACTAAATCAATACAATTGTTTTCGTAGAAATAAAGTTGAAATGTATAGTAAACATTGAATGAGCCCCTGCGTTCTGAATCAATCTACTTTTTTATTAAGGTAAAGCTGGTTTCCTGTCTGTCTGTCATTTACAGTTGAAATCAGATTTATTAACCCCCCTGAATTATTAGCTCCCCTCTTTATTTTTCTCCCAATTTCTGTTTAACAAAAATATTTTGTCAGTAGTACCTTTCTAAACATAATAGTTTTAATAACTCATTTCTAATACCTGATTTATTTTATCTTTGCCATGATGACAGTCAATAATATTCGACTAGATATTTTTTAAGACGCTTCTATACAGCTTAAAGTGACATTTAAAGGCTTAATTAGGTTAACTAGGCTGGTTTGGATAATTAGGCAAGTTATTGTATAACGATGGTTTGTTCGGTAGGAGCTAATAATTTTGGCCTTAAAATGTTTTTTGAAAAAATGCTTTTATTCTCGCCTAAATAAAACAAATAATACTTTCTCTAGAAGAAAAAATATCAGAAATACTGTGAAAATTCCCTTGCTCTGTTCAACAACATTTGGAAATATTTAAAGAAAAGAAAAATAAGATTTAAGGGGGTTTAATAATTTAGATTTCAATTGAATGGCGAAAGAAAGTAGTTCCTCATACAAAAGAATTTTGAGGCTATTTGTGTTTGATTTTCTTTTTTATATACACAATTATGCCGTCAAACTGTTGTATAAACGTTATATCACACTCGTAGCAGTATATCATTACTGATGGGCAGGGCCAGACGGAATCTGCGGATGTTTTTTGCTATTTCTGCTGAGAATTTTGGTAAAAATCTGCAGATTACTGCGGAATTATTTTGGGAGTATCATAACTAAAACCTTAATATGTGAAATAAAAAGTAATACTTTTAACTTTTATTTCATGTTTAAAATGTAAATCCAATTAGATTTACTTTATTTGGTAAACAAAACAAGTCTCTCATAATATCTATACTAAAAGACAGAAAATATGACTTACAAACTGCATTGTGCATAAATCAGATAAACATTTTCATATTAGTTAATAATATTACTGTAATTAATTTAAAAACTGAATAAATATAGATTTACACATTTACTCAAGTAAATAAACAGAATTAATAATGGCCTAAAAATCTGCAAAATTCTGCGCGCGCAGATTCCGTGTGGGCCTACCGATGGGACACTAACAATGCAAGCCTCCCACAGGTCCCGATATACAGCCACATCACACTGCTACTTATGTGAGATTGTTCATATATATATATATATATATATATATATATATATATATATATTAATTTTTTTTTAGATGGAATAAAAGTTTTTTTTTTTTTTTAGATTATATGTACATTTAAGTAGATTTGCTACAGAATAAACAACTGTTATCCTGTAGATTGCCTAATTTACTTGGTTAAGCCTTTTAATGGCGCTTTTAACAATACGTGTAATCTTTCAAAAGGTAACTAGTACAATATTATGTACTAGCCTCATGACAAAGATTAAATAAATGAGTTATTAGAAGTTATAAAACTATTATGTTCTAAAATGTGTTCGAAATGTCTTAATGAAGAAAAGTCTTCGTTAAACAGCATTTTGGAGATATTTGAAAAAGAAAAGGTTTTGCAGGAGGGCCAATAATTTTGCCTTCAACTGTTTACACACACACACACACACAAATTACTTATGAACTTAAAATCTGCTAATAGTGAGTATTAGCACCACTAGAATTAATTAAATTAAATTTCTTTGACATTTTTATGTCATGATTGCTCAAAGTCTTTGTTTATGAAACCTACATAGTGGATTTTTAGTTCATATGGACATTTTTAGCAAAGTGACACCGGAAAAGATTAAACAAATTTGATCATGTTTTAACACTAAAAATCTTATTTAATTTATGTTTTACTTCGTAGATTTTTTTTTTCAATTGTATATTTAGTATTGAAATGTTCCTGCCATGAAAATAGCCTTGGTTGCTGACTTGGCATTAAATAAAAAATATATTACATTTAAGTTCATATAAGTAAAAAGTATGAACATTACTCTAAAGCAAGGGTACTCAATCCTGTTCCTGGAGGAAAAAATCCTGTTTCAGTTGCTACCCATATCAAACACACCTGCCTGTAATTATCAAGTGGTGTTCAGGTCCTAATTAATTGGTTCAGGTGTGTTTGATATGGGTAGCAAGTGAAATCTGCAGGAAAGTAGATCTCCAGGAACAGGATTGAGCACCCCTGCTCTAAATGTTTCCAGTAGCACTCAGAGAGATACTGAAGGTCATTTACATACCTAAAGGCATTCAAACAACAAACTTACAAAAATAAAAATAAAAAGCTCATTATATTTCAAAAACCTTCCCTGACCCTGAAATTAAAGTCTAAATGCTTGTCTTGTAGGAACGAGGCAAAGACAGAGGGCAAGAGTGAACTAATTCCATCCATCAAGTTTCGCCACAGCTGCCTGTTGAGGAACCAGCGCTGTATTGCCGCATATTTGTGAGGGATTCACTTCTGCTACATTTCCTAGATTCCCCTTCACTCCTGTGTGCTTGAACACTTCTCTCCTTCCCTTCACAGATACGACCGCCTCTTGCGAATCCGTGCCCTCAGATGGGAATATGGCAGTGTATTACCCACCAACATTAGATTTCATATGTGTGCTGAAGAGGTGGGCTTGATCTTCTGTGTAGCAGATCCTATACACCACTTGTTTCTTCTTTGTCTGTGTCTGACGCTAATTTTAATGCTTTATGAATCAGATGGAGTGGTTTAATCAGTACAAAAAGTCCTTGGCAACTTATATGAGGTCAATCGGGGGAGAAGAAGGCTTGGACATCACACAGGATATGAAGCCCCCGAAGAGTTTATACATTGAGGTGAGTGCAGTGTGATTTTAGGGGACGTGTTGTTGTCGAAAATGTTCATACAGATCTGTGAACACAATTTGAAAACGCTGGATTTTACTTGTCACTTTGTAAAGAAACGCTATACAATACGGTTCTGTAGTTCACCATTGTTGTTACGATTGTCAAGTACGTGAGCATGCCTATGGAGTCAACATTATATTTACACTCACAGGACACTTTATAAGGTACACATCCAACTGATCGTTAACGCACATTTCTAATCAGCCAATCACATGGCAGCAACTCAATGCATTTAGGCATGGGCTGCGTCCGAACAGCATACTATATAGTACGCTAAAATCAGCATGCGAGCCGAGTAGTATTTCTGAATTCATAGAATTCGAAAATCCATAAACGAGAAGTACCCGGATGACTTACTGCATCTGGCGAGATTCTGAAGTGCGCATCCCATGCACGCTGCGCTATCTCATAATGCCCCGCGAGAGAGTTCATGAATGGAAGTGAGGCGACGCAACTGAAGCAGGTAGGTCACGTAACCATGACAAAAGGGGGGATGTAGTACATCCCAATTCCATTCATACTTTTTACATTCATACTGTATAGAACGTACTTTTTTAACAGTCGAGAAGTACGTTTAAGTTCAAATGCAGTACCTACTGAGTAGTAGGCGGTTTCGGACGCAGCCATGGTCAAGACTATCTGCTGCAGTTCAAACCGAGCATCAGAATGGGGAAGAAAGGTGATTTAAGTAAAAAGCATTTTAGCAGATGTATAGAACACGCAAATATTTTAGTTTAAGTGCATGATGTCATATTAATATTTTTCATATAATCTTTTACAAAAAATGGCTGAGTTACAGTATTGAAATTGTTAAATTTCATATAATGTATTCTAAAAAAAAAAAAAAATCACTCGTTTAGTTAAACATGCAGTAACACTAACATCACTGATGTGACTTCTCTTTCTATGTTTTTATTCTTCTTCAGGTGCGCTGCCTTAAAGACCATGGGGAATTTGAAATAGATGATGGCACCGTGATTCTGTTGAAGAAAAACAGCCAGGTAAATCTATTCTTAAAAAGGCCATAAAGACCATTTCATTGTGGTGATGTCATTAACCCATGAACAAATGCTTATAAAAAAAAAATATATATATATATAATTGTTGACATTTTCTAGTTTGCAATTTTTATTTTTTGCAATATCTCATTTGAATTTTTTTTTTCCACGCCTAAAGATGTTAGGTGAACAAAGTCTATTTTAATGAATATAACTGTTTAAATGTACCAAAAATTGTTGTCTGTATCCACTAAGCAATGGATAAAAATATTCATTTTAGAAAGGGGCTGTACTCATTTATGCTGAGCATTGTATTCTTTTTTTAATCATTCATCTATTTTAACTCTTATGGATACATAAGAACATATAAAAATGATTGCAAATAAAATTTAACACACTTATTTTCAATTCTAACAGTTGGAAATATATGTAAATAGCCAAGAGCATGTGAAAGATATTTTCTCTGGAGCAGGCTAGCTGTAAAGAATAAATCTCCATAGTAATTTATTTAGTCTAACCATAATGCAACTGAATCAAAGCTAAATTGAGCCAGGATATCCTCAAAATACCAGCTTAATCCCTTATCTTATTTTTGTGCAAGACCCCTCTGCCCACCATTTCTGTTTGTTGTCAAAACTGACAGTTAGGGGTGTGTGGTTATGTTAGCCACGCCCAATACCTAACACCACTACCCTTTTTTTTCTTAATGACATGCACAGATGAATTGTTAACAAAATCATATGGTTAGTTGAGTTAGTTTAAAGTCATGCAGTTATACTGTAACATCTCCAATTATATAAAATAACTATAGAAAATAATATTTCATAACTTGTGTTATTTGTAATGTTACCCCAACACTGATAATTTTCTAGCTGTAGTTCAGTGGCTACTGGTGTTTCTAGGAAGGATTTTAGAATTCATCATACAGTCTGATTTAAACATGACTTTATAGCAGCTGTAAGTGCTTGTGTGTATATATAATGAATGTTTCTCTCTACAGCACTTCTTACCCAGATGGAAATGTGAGCAGCTCATTCGGCAGGGTGTATTAGAGCATGTCATCTCCTAACGAGAAGCAGCCGTACTGTGGATACTTTAACGTAAATTGACTCGACATTTAGTTGATCTGGTTGTCCAATCAGAAAGCAGCATGTTGTTCACAGGTAAAACTTTACTTGGTCACATTCTTTACAATGGAAAAAAAACAAATACATGATGCATTTACCACAGCCGTGTCTCACTTTCATCTCCCAACCTTTAGCCAGCTTCTTTTAGACACACAACTGTAACAATTACAATAACTTATATCAAAGTGGACTTTAGTGCATCATGATTGTGCCTTTAAAATATAGCATTTGTATCAAAACTGTACATCGTGTGAATACTGTGCTTTTGGTTATTGCACCAAAATGGGCATTAAAACAGCAATAAAAAGAAGTCTTTTACTAGCAAATACTTACAAGGATGTCTGGGCTTCATACCCTAAATCACAGTAAACAAAAGAATGTGTAATGCTTATTTCTTAGATTATCAAATGCTGTACCATTTTCTTCATTAAAATTCAGCGGCCTTGAAGCAGGCACACAATGTAGCCTTAAAGAGACAGTTCACCCATATAGAACATTTCTGTCATTTACTCATCCTTCAGATCGTTGTTGAATACAGAAGATATTTTGAAGAAACCAGTAACTTCGTATTTGTTTTGTGTCAATGGTTACAGGTTTCCAAAATTCAACAGGTTTTCTTTGCAACAAGTCAATGATGTGTAACCACTCCTTGTTCATTTTTGGGTGAACTATCCCTTTAAATTCTTTACTCTTCATTCTCCTTATTCTGTTGAAACAGCATTATTTAAATACAGTGCACTCTTATAGTTACTGCAAGACAGTGCATTATCTGTGCTCTTAATTTAACACTTGGATTGTTTACTGCTTTTACAAAAACATTTTGCACCAAAAGGAAAAAAAAAAAGTGCACTAGCGAGTGAGACTTCACAGTCCAGTGCAGAAATTAGTTAATGTTGAGGGATAGTTCACCCAAAATTGAACATTTCCACACCTTTTAGTTAGTTTTTTTCTGAAAATATTTTTTTTTAAATGTTAAACCAGTAACCATTGACCCTCATAGTAGGGAAAAAACATACTATTGTTGAAGGCAGTTTTCTGGCTTTCTTCTTTTGTGAAGAAAGTCAACTAAGTTTGATACAAATGAAACCGTTTTAAGTTTTGGATGAACCATCCCCTTTTAAGACATGTCTAAGCTGTGAGTGATGCTGGGGCGATTTTACGTAAGAGTTTATTCAGAGCAATGACTTTCTCCTCCAGGAGGAAGGACTTTTTCTCTGCGCTCTTCTGCCTCTGCTCGGTCACCTGGAGAGCCTTCATTAGCTGAGAGTTTTCCACATAAAGGTCCTTTAACAGCACGTCTGACTTGGAATTTTTGGCCAGCTGTAGGGGGGAAATGAGATTATCAATTTACAAATTATCAAGCCTCAGAGCAGTATACTAATCAGAGCACAGTTACAAATGACATGGTCATACTGACCATAGGGCTGAAAATTACATTGATATTACTGGAACTAGTAAACTTTAACACATTTATTGAGATGTTGACAGTCATATATGGTGTCCCACGTTGCTAAAAACACTATTAGGACATTTATTTTTCACAGAAAAATAATTGGTAACACTTTATAATAACTACACACTGAATCATTTACTAAGCATTAGCATCTAGTGAATTCATTATTTGTTAAGCATTAACTCTACATTAATAAACGTTAGTAAGCGGTTTATAACTGCAGCTACAAATGCTCTATTCTTGACTTATTAGCACCTATATAATGTGCTTAATAATTGTATTTTCATATTTAGTTAATGATTTATTTTTCATCACTAAATTAAGTATCGCATTATTTACAAACCATTTGTATTTAAGAGTTGAAGGTTTTTAAGATCATTCAGAATGAGTTAGAACATTATTAATAAACTATTGAAATCAACATTTATATATCTTATTATTCAGGCATATACTAATACTTAACTAATATGTTAATAAATGCTTTATTAACTCAACTTCATGCAGTTTTGTGACCTAATCTAAAGTGGATTATTCATGCTTTATAAATCCCTTATAAATTACAATTAAAGGCTCAGAATCAAATAACCAATAATCTTTGCAATCTTTTCTAAAAAATAAAATTACTGTCAAGTTTAAACATTGCTGAATAACAGGAGTGCCAAAATATGACATAAAACTGGATAAAACAACAAAAACTATATAATTTAACAATATAATTAGATGCAATGTTTAAACTGTACGGTGATTTTATTTTTGATCAGGTTGCAACGATTTATTTTTCATTTGAAGTACAGTTTCATTTGTATATCTTTAAATGAATAGGAATGAACAATGTCATTTTTCCTGTTTATAATTTAACTGAGCCTTTATTTGTCATTTATAAGGGATTTATGAAGCATGAATAGTCCTTACTTTAGATTAGGTCACAAAACTGCATGAAGTTGAGATAATAAAGCATTTATTAACATACATAGTAACCATTAATATATGTCTGAATAATAAGACATATAAACGTTGATTTCAATAGTTTATTAATCATTTACTAATTCATTCTGAATTATCCTAAAAACCCTCAACTACTCTTAAATACAAATGGTTTGTAAATAATGCAATACTTAATTTAGTAATGAAAAATAAATCATTAACAAAGTATGAAAGTACAATTATTAAGCACATTTTAAATATGTTTGTAAGTCAAAAATACAGCAGTTGTAGCTGCATTTATAAACTGCTTACTAACGTTTAATGTAGAGTTAATGCTTAACAGATAATGAATTCACTATTTGCTAATGCTTAATAAATGATTTATAGTGTGTGGTTATTATAAAGTGTTACCAAATAATTTTTGCGTTGTTTATAGCAAATTCATTCCTGCGCTTTAAAAATATATTTTGAAGCTTCATCATGGCGATGAGATCATTGTTCAAATTTCAGCGTGGAGATTAGCTGCCTGTACCGGCTGGTACAAAGTGATGTCTGAGTCTTCAGCACATCTGTTCATTAATTCTTGAGAAAGGCCAATCAGCGCACTCTATTGTGATTAAGATGCAACTTAATATGTATGATATAACTTCGAAGACTCCTTTTACCTGTTAACAGTGTTCAGAGAGACGCCACATCGCGTTGCTAACCGTAATTAAAACAAGTAGAAGAAGAATTGTTCTGAGACATGGGACATCAGTGTTGAGTTTATAAATGTGCCATAATAAAGGTTTTGCTTTCATTTTCCTGCTATGAGAGCACAGCTCTAGTGTGGATGCGTGTGGATTACAGTGGTCTGCTAACACGCGACAACAATTTGGTTCAAGGAACCAGAGAGCTTTCCACATGTGGAAATGGTGAAATCAGTCTTTAACAAAAAAAAAAAAAAAAAAAAAAAAAAAAAAAGTGGTTCCAGTTTGTGTTAATTGTCCTGGCTGGTAAGTGTGTGATCAGTGTTCTTTGTTTATTCAGATGGCAAAGCTAATTAGTATCTTCAACAGTACTCTCAGTTTTTAAAGACACACCTCAGTCAAAATGATTCAGTTATTAAGTTTATGGCCCTTTAAACATGTCTAATGGCCCATTTCCATCGAGTGGTACAGTACGTTTCAGTATGCTTTTATGGTTGTTTCCACGGTTAAAGGGTACCAAAAAGTGAAGAGTACCGGTTCAGTACTGGTCACCTTTATCAGGCTTGCGTTTCCGCTGCAAAAAAGGTACCAAAAGGCAGAGCTAGACATGCAGCTGAACGCTATTGGTTTACAGAGATACACAACTAGAAGGAAATGAGAATGAAAACAAAGAAACCACCATTTTTAAATACACAGCCGGGACATTACAGTGTAATAATATACATGTAATAAGCCATGGTCAACCCAAGGTTAAACAAACAATGTCATCGTCTTGATGAAAAGCCACAAAGCCAAGAAGAGCAGAATCTACCCTGTGCACCATAATTGTTTACAATGCTGTCTAAAGTGTGAGCAGTTCGTAACATATCTGAGACTGTAAGGGTCTGTATGTGTGTTCATATATCCTCCTGGGACCCAAAGAAAATTATTTTTCTGTGATTTCCTGCATCCTTTGGGTTAAAAAAATTCTACTATTTAGAGTTTACTTTTTTTTTATTTTTTATTTTACAGCATGTCCACTGTAGTGGACCACAGGACCATTTCAGTTCAAAACGACCACCACTCAGACAACAAAACTGTACAGGATATGGCTGTAAAGGGATAGCAATCCAATATTATTGTAACAAAACAAAAGCCATTTTTTCATTTTGTATTTAAATTCCTGAAAATAGTTTAGTCAAAGAGAGCCAAAAAAAAAAAAAGTGATGTTAATCCAAAACTAACTTAACAAAAGCGATTTTTGATAGTCAGACTCTTAAGTCAGAGGCTGTTTTTCAATATGCGTTCTTTAGCGGTCTGCAACATCATCATCAGCTGCCTAAGTTCAGTTATAAAAATTCAAGACCGCAAGTACAGAGGACGCGTGAAACTTCCCGGATGTGATCTTGATATCGAGGACGCAACGATGCAGACTTGAGCACCGAACTCGCTCTGGAAGTCCCAGAAGTCATTGCGACTGCAGGTGGGAAGCGCTGCATTTTATTTAGATTTATTATTTAAGTTTAGGGATATGACTTATTTACCTCAGGAGTTTCCGTAAATGACACGGTGAATATAAACATTACCATGGACACCTTAAAGGAATAAACACTTTAAGGGTATTTGTTTGCTGAAATTCATATTAAAATCTGTTTTATTTATATTGTGCAGAGTATATTTATAATGTTTTTATGCAAAGTATATATTTTGAAAAGGGGAAAAACAATAAATCGTTGTATGAAGGCTGTAATGTTTAAATATTTTACCATTTAAAACACGTGAAGGTCATGTGACCATCAGGAAGAATGCAGCATTTCAATTCTCAAAGGACACGTTCTCTGCCCTCGCGGTCTCCTGAGTTCGTTCTTCCGAGGACACCTGGCAAAACCGGTCTCTGCGTTCTTGGAATTGAGAAACAGCCCCTGTCTCCTTTAAATATCTCATAAAGAATCCTCTCTACTTCAGTTCTGCTCCCTACAACATGCAGTCATTAATTACATTAATGTTCCTGAATTACATTACATTAATGGTCCTGGTGTCCACTATTGTGGACATTTAAAAAAAATATTTTTTGAAAATATTTTGATATTTTGAAACACAAACAAGTTTACAGATATGAAAGCTAAATCTATTGTTTCTGACGCCTTAATAAACAAATGACTATGTAATAATAATAATAATAGTAAAAAAAAAACATTTTAAAAGCTAAATTTTACATGCCTCTCTCCTTCCCATAAATGTGCTTGTTTGTATGCCGGCCATTTTGTATGCAGTGTAAGTGGTTCCTAGCATGCCAGCCAATCAAATGACATCACTAGAAAGCCCAGGATGTCCTCTGAACAGTACAACAGGACTTGACAGAGTAGCTTAAAAAATTCAAAGAAAAAAATCATAAAAACGCAATGTCCACTACAGAGGACACAAGTCAGTGGGAGGCGTCTCAGGAGGATGTGTTGCATTTATATAGTGATTTTATATAATTGGAGATGTTACAGTATAACTGCCGATCAATCATGTTAAATAGCCTATAATCAAATCATGTTCATAGAAAGGTTGGTAATGATCATTCATACACATTTACGAACATGTATAAAGCATCTGTTTTTTGAGAAGTGTTTCTCGTGTGATGTGAAGGACCTGTTCAGCTTTACTTTGACATTTCCTCCAGCGAGAATGACATTGACTGAAACCTTATGTCATACACCATGCCATTGGTACCCTCTTGGCAGTGGAAACACAAGCCTGATAAAGGTAGCCTGTAACGTATACCATACTATACCACTCAATGGAAATGGGCCTTAAGCTGTGAGTGATGCTGGGACAACTTTACATAACAGTTTATTCAGAACAAATCACTGCTTCACATCATACCTACAATATAGGAATTTTATTAACCATGTATCAGTACATGGAGGCATCATATCCATCAAAAGCACAATGTGTGGTGCAGCAAGGCTCAGGTCTTAGTCCCTTGCTTTCTATAGCCCCTTTCACACAGGGATACCGGTAAATATCTGGAAAATTTCCGGAACGACTTTACCGGTATATTCAAAAAAAGTGCTGTTCACACAGGCGAGGACGTTACGGAAATTTTCCGGAAAAGAGCATTCATACATCCATTCCAAAATACTGGTAAATTCTGACATCGTTCACCACAAATGAGCTTTAATCGGCTGCGCTTGATTTGTAAACATTTGACTACATTACAAACTCTGTGGATGATCAATATTGTGAACAACTTTCGCAGGATCACTTTCGCATGTCGAGATGTTCATAATATGTGCGTGTGCAGGCGCTCACAGGCTGTTTAACAGGCACACGCAAAGCTTAAAGGTAAACAAACAGCGGCTTATCATAAGCATCTCATCGATGATTATTTACACAGTTGGCATTAAGAAGAACATAGAAACGTTATCTGACTAAGTTTCTAGCAGCTAAATGTGTCTGGAAAAATATTCAAAGGCTTTTATTCTCATAAACCGCGCGGACGTAAATGCGTCTGACTGTTGTGATTGGCTAAAGCAGACGTCTTATGTCAGCACGTTCTAGACGTGCACGCGCTTATTCCGGCAATCTTCCTTCTGCATTCACACAGCACAGCATTCCGGCAAATTACCGGTAATGTTACAACTTCTCTTTCCGGAAAATAGCCAGAACGAATTTACCGGTATTTTCAAAAAGGACCTGTTCACACATACAACCTTTCCGGAAAATTGCCGGTAATTTTCCAGAAAGGTCTGTATGTGTGAAAGGGGCTTATGTTATACATGCGACAAAAATGAGAATTCTGTTATTAGATTCTCATCTGAAGCACAAATTAAGATATTTTAGAGGACATGAGCGCTCTCTCGTCCTCCATACTCCTCGATGTGTATAAATTGATAACTTTCAGTTTTGGGTGAACTATTCCTTCAATCATTTTAACAGACAAGTGGCTTGATTAAACAATTGATGACTATGTCCTCACACACACCATTTTTTATCTTTATACTCATTATGAAATGTTCATTTAGTGTCAAAGTAAGGTAAATGAAAGCCTCTAGAAATGTCTCTAGAAAGTCAAATGTCCCACAATGGGATGGTTAATTTCTGTTATTATTCAGAAAGTGCTACTTATCTATTTTTCAGTCAAGCAAGCAAGTGAACTTACCCCCCCACCCCCCTTACACCAGGTCTTGGTTTGTTTTTGCATACCTGTTCTTTCAGCTGGTTGACTTTCTCCTGAAGCATGACACGGGTGTTTTTCAGCTTGGCCTCAACCTCATCCATACGCTCCTGCATACTCGCCATCAGTTTCTCATATTGCTCCTGTGGTTTGATTTAACAGTATGTTATTAAAAGTGCTTGAATGAGGCAGAGGGTCAAACATGCAAATGATTCTAATGTGTCAGAAGCACTTGCACAAGGTCACAAATTACAGCAGTCAAAACCATGTAAATGCAACAAATACTCCTCTTACACTTTCAATTGAAGGTTTTACAGCATTTTGTGTCTATCAAATGCCCTTAGCTTATCTAAAACCATTATGGAATTTTAATGGTTGTTAATTACCTGTCTGCATAATGTGTTCTTCTATCAATTTTCAAGGCTAGTACTCTTTGATTCACTCTGTTGTCTGTTGCTTTTGTTATTTAACAAAGTACTGTCAATATTATATGAAAAATCCCAAAACAGAAACATCTGATCATCCTCCATAGCATTGCTTCATGGTTACACGTTACAAAGGCAATAGGGTATATGCAGAAGCATGCTAATAGGACTTTCAATTTGCCAGTAACCTGGGTTAAGTGCTTCCGGGGAACTGTATGCCAATGCAAAACCCGGCACGTTTAAGGTCAGTTTTCATTAAAAATCAGCGATCTCCACTGGCTAAGGGATATCCGATATAAAGTGGGTCTCAGATTGTGCAAGAAGCACTACATTAAATTACATTTCCCCCCGTCATGTCTTTATAATATGAGCATTTATTTTACCCTAGTATATTCATTGGAGCTTCTGCGCTAGTCTGCCGATTCTGACGGGCGCGTGCGAGTAAACGGCTTTTTGTCTCGTTTTATGCTTGAACAACTAAATGGATGCCAAAGTTTATTTAACTGAATGTAATTTATTGACATTACAACATCGATGCTGTAAAAGGAACCGTATAAAATGGAAAAAAAGTTCACAATAACAGGTCACCCGAAGTTTATTAGTATGGGAAAAACACTAGCTCAGCATATACCCTATGACTAGGCCCACATGAAAGCTGTGTGCTTAGAATTCCGCAGATCTTTATCCCATCACTGAGTCCATTTATTTAAATGTGCGCAAATTTAGATTTATTCACTTTTTGAATTTTAGTAATAGTATTGACTAATATGAAAGTGTTCATTTGATTTATTTACAATACAGTTTGTGAAGTCATATTTTCGGTCCTTTAGTAGATATATAAGAGACTTGCTTCGCAAATCCAATTAGATCCACTTATTTGATAAACATTGTAAACATAAGTTCAAAAGTTTTTTTTTTTTTAATATAAGCTTTTAGTTATGATACTCCTAAAATCATTCTGTATAAATCTGCAGATTTTTAACAAAATTCTCAGCAGAACAACAAACAATGTCTGCAGATTCTGTCTGGCCCTAGCAATGACTAATGCATTTGCAATATATTCCAAGAGTTCTGTTATTAGGACCACAGTGGATGCTGACTGTACCAGATTAAATAGTTAAAAGTGCAGTAGGTGATTGTCTTCAGAAACATTGTTTGTTGTGCTGGTTAAAAGTCTCTTCACATTCTGATAGTAAAGATTATTGTAAATGATCTAAATTAATTTTAATATTCTAGTCATAAGACTAAACATTGTCCAATTAAAAATCGTCTGGCCAAAGTGAAAGTCTGTATAGAGTTTTCTGACTGGTGAATGATATGATCTAGTGTTATAATGTATAAGGGGCGATCACACCGAACGAGTCTTTAGATTCCAAAATCGTGAGGTGCACCTCACTGCCTTTTTTTGGTAACAAGAGAAAAAAAAAGCAGCACTGTGCGCTTTATAATCGCTAGGCAACGACTAAATCAGCTGGTTAATGTGCGCAAGTGTTGCTGATGATGATAATATAAATTTTAATATTGTGATATTCAAGATTTGAGTCATACAGCTCCGGATAACTCAAAACAGCAGCCACTAGTGGTTCCTTCATCCTCAAAAGTCTACTTTGTTGTCTTGACAACACAAACACTGCAGGCACCTCAACGGAAACCCCGCCTCTGCTTTCCTTTGATTGGAGAATGAAAAAGAGGCGAGTGACATATGCTTTTTCCACTATATGAGTTGACTCTTCAACTGCGAGCGCACGGTGCACAAAGACAAAAACGCGAGGCACACAGGGCACATTAGCAGTGCGCAAAACGCTCACTGCAGTTAGTAAACCATTCAAAATTAGGCGCCTCGGAAAAAAAAAAGCACATTCAGTGTGATCGGCCCCTAAGGTCGTCTATGGTCATCTACTCAGTGCGAGTTTATGACTTCAGGAGGTCCGACTTTGGAAGACAGGAGAGAAACATGCATTTTCAAAGCTATATTCTAACGTTAGCATTTTGGCTGATCACCTACCCATGTGACCTTGCCAATTTGAAGTGCATGAACCCATAAAAGTTGAGTCATCCTTAAGCGTCGTTTCAAAATCATCCATCACTATTCTCAAGATGTTCAATGTGATTTTGAGGTTTTGTACCTGCTGAAGGCCCATCTGAACACTGGCCTGCTTGGCCTGAGAGCGAAGCAGATCCTCAAAATCCCGCGTCCTGCGCTGCTGCTCAGCCAGTTGAGTCTGCAGGAGAGACGCATGTTCCTGGGTACCAGACCCCATCTGTTCCTTTAGTTCCTGTATCTCACGTGTATGCTGAGCCTGGACCATTGATCGAGTGCTCTCTGCCCTCATTGCCTGAAAATGCAGAAGGCAAGATGATAAACATTCATAAGGGATTATCAAGCAGGAAGAGGCTTCAAATTGATCTTCCAACCTGTTGATTTGCTTCTTGTTTAGCAGTCTCCAACTCTGCTTGTTTATTTCTCAAAGTGAGACACTCGTGTGTCAGTCTCTGAAGTTCAAGCTCCTGTGATTGCAGCTGAGCCACCTACAAATATAATATGACATATTACAATGTCTCAAGCAACATGTAATGCTTAAGACTGGGGTAGTGGCTGTTTCTTTCCATATACATGACTGCGAATGTTTTATTGATTTTACTTTGGTTTAGGCCTGGCATTGTATTGACATTTCCTAACATACCTTGTTTTGAAGCTCCTTGTTCTGTACTCGCAGGCTCTTGCACTCATTCTGCAGAACACTGACTGCCGTCTCCTCCTGAAGCCTGTGGGTGTGTTGTACCTGCTCCTTTTCTTTACGCAGCTGACTTATTCTCTCTTCGAGCTCTTGGACCTTGTGTTTAACAACAGTAAATTAAGTCGGTTTTATTGCTGTTTATGAGCCGTGAAGTGTACAGTAGGGCTGTGCGATTATTGAAATTTGAACGATTTGTACATGCACGATTCCTAAAATCACCTTACAGTACGGAATTTGAACCAATCATAACGCAGCTCGCCTAAACAGAGCGCGAGAACAGGAGACTGAGGCTGTTTCTCAATTCCAAGAACGCAGAGAATGGACTTGCGTTCTTGTGGAGACCACTCTTGCCAGGTGTCCTCGGAAGAACGAACTCAGGAGACCGCGAGGGCAGAGAACGCGTCCTTGGAGAAATGGAATGCTGCATTCTTCCTGATGGTCATGTGACCTTCACACGTTTTAAATAGTAAATTATTTAAACATTACAGCATTCATACAACGATTTATTGTTTCCTCCCTCTTCAAAATATATACTTTGCATAAAAAACATTATAAATATACTCTGCACAATATAAATAAAACTGATTTTAATACGAATTTCAGCAAATAAACACCCTTAATGTGTTTATTCCTTTATTAAGATGTCCATGGTAATGTTTACTTTCACCGTTTCATTTAGGGAAACTCCTGATGTAAATAAGTGATATCTCTGAACTTTAATAATAAATCTAAAAATGCTGCGCTTCCCACCTCCAGTCGCAATGACTTCTGGGACTTCCAGAGCGAGTTCGGTGCTCAAGTCTGCATCAGTGCATCCTCGATATCAAGAACACATCCGGGAAGTTTTACGCGTCCTCTGTACTTGCGGTCTTGAGTATTGGAACTGAACTTAGGCAGCTGATGATGACGTTGCACGAGAACACGAGGACGCAAGACCGCTGAAGAACGCATATTGAGAAACAGCCTGAGCCTTTTGACAAATAGTCTGCATAATGAGTTCAGCACAGGAGGACTTTGGGTAACACTTTATTTGATGGTCCATTTGATTATTAGTAGACTGTCTGCTTAATATCTGTTGATACTGCTTCTTCAACAGACATTTAACTGACTAGAAGAAACTTTGCAAGTACATGTCAACTTACACGAACCCTAAGAGTATACTTATAACGTTATGAGAATTAGTTGGCATGTAGATGCAAATGTATCTAAATTCAACAAACGGACCATCAAAATAAAGTTTATCCAGACTTTATCCATCACAGGATCGGTTAATTTAGAAGACCCATCAGTTACATATCGCATTTAAAAGTGCCTGGAAAGCACAAGGTGCGTTGCTTCCCTCAGCATTCAACACGCTTTGGCTGCATCCGAAACCGCCTACTACTCAGTAGGTACTGCATTTGAATTTAAACGTACTACTCGGCCGTTAGAAAAGTACGTTCTATACAGTATGAATGTGAAAAGTATGAATGGAATTCGGACTTACTACATCCGCCATTTTGTCATGGTCACGTGACCTACCTGCGTCAGTTGCGTCGCCTCACTTCCATTCATAAATTCTCTCACGGGGCATTATGGGATAGCCCAGCGTGCATGGGATGCGCACTTCAGAATCTCGCCGGTAGTAGTAAGTCATCCGGGTACTTCTCGCATACTGATTTTTGAATTCTATGAATTCGGACATACTACTCGGCTCGCATACTGATTTTAGCGTTCTATATAGTATAGAAGTATGCGGTTTCGGACGCAGCCTTTGTGTTCACGCTCCTTTGTCGTGTCTCGGCGACCATCAGCAGTTTTCTCAGAGGATGTCAATCTTATAAAACATTGCTGCTGGTCCGGTAGAAGTTTTATTTATAGAGAAAATGAAAAAGCACTGGGTTTTTGGGGGTTCTGTGTTTGTCTGAATTAATCGGAGAAAATCTGTACGTTCCATACGAAGTATGAAGCCGATCGCTCAGTTCTTGTTGCGTGAATAACGGTTACTTGCAACATTCTGAAAGTAGAGATGTTTTCAACTGGGTGTGCATGGAATACGCACACGTCACTTCAAATATGCACGCACGCCAAGTGACTCCATTGGAAATAACGAACTTGTGCACACAAATAACGCAACATGAACGGCCTATTTTACGGCAGCGTCAATAAGAAGTATATGATCTATAATGAATGGCAAACAAAAACAAAATCTGGACACAAACAAGTACACACTACATTTGACATGTGGTCAAACAGAACATCAGTGCTTTGTGCAGACATACACAGTAGTCTATTTGTTTTGCCATAGGTCTGTTTTAGAGACAATTACATCTTTACTAGGTGATTTGAATTTTTTTGCCTTGTGTCTGTTTTAGAGACATGATGACAGTTCTGATTAAGATCGAATTGTATTCCTTTGGAAATAGGTTTCATGTTCACACTAAAAACCTCAAAATTGTGATTAAAGTGCCGCTATTTTGCATTATAAAAGGGCATATTTTGGTTTGGGGGGACCAGGAGACCCCCTTGCATTGCAAGGTACAAAAACACTTTCATTGTCTTATATAATATGCATTTATTTTTACCTGAGTATCACAACGACTCATATATTATTTGTTCAGCAATTCATTTGTTTCCAAACCCCTCCTTAGCTAGAAGCTAATCTGCGCTAAAAGGAACGATGACCCAGTCTGTTGTGATTGGTTGACTGGATTCAGCGAGAGACCACCGCAGCTATAAAGTAGCACACATTGAGAGCTCAATGCAGAAATTCAATAAAGCAATGCAGTTAAACACCAGCATATACTCTATTCTTAACCCTAACACCAATTATTACCATGACATATACTCAGTATTAATCCACACAATGGCAAAAGTTGAACTACTTTGAAAATTGACCGCCTGAGGTCAACATGAGAAACATCTGATGGTGGCCATAGCACCAACAGCAGGAGCACAGCATAAAAACGCATTTAAATCGGTAAAGGAAGAAGCGTCGCGTTTTGGGCTCAATATGTAAACAGCCCCATACAGATTTAACCGGAGAGATACAGTACAAGCACATTACAACTTATACCACAATTAAACACATATTTTGCACTACAACAAAACAAGGCAACCGTATTAATTACACTCGCATGTTATGATCCAGAGGAAGCAGCAGCTGGTCCATATGACAGTAACAGTTCAGTAACAGTTACTAAACAAAGTCCCTTACATAACAGTCTGCTTCTTGCTTTAATAGCAAACGGCCAATGAATCCCACATTGCAGCAAAGGTTATTGTAACAAAAATCTGAAAAACTACAAGAACAAGCAAGTGGTGCTCGCTGCAGAGCCATTTGAGGAGAGCTGAGCTCCAGCGAGGGGGAGCTTAAGCTTGAGCTCCACCTTTTTTGAACTTCTTCTACGAGTGATGTCACTGGGGGTAGGGTTAGGGGTGGGGTTGGTGTACGCATTAAAACAGCTTACAGGAGGAGAAGCGACAGCTCATGCTCCCCCTCGCTGGAGCTCAGCTCTCCTCAAATGGCTCTGCAGCGAGCACCCTCTCAGAACAAGCAGTATTAGGGTGGCTATACTGTGGTATTGATGTGAAAATGAACTTTAACCCTTTATTCACCGCAGTGGAATCTCCATCTGTCAGTGATCGTCATCTTCATGTCATGATCAGTCCTTTGATCCCCACGCAATGCTAGTATCTAAAGGGAAAGGCACGTTCTTGTTTTACCGGATCTGGAACTACATATTTGGTGATGTACCATATCGACATCGACACGTTCAAGCAAAAGATCCGAACCAAACTAGATTCATTTATTTGACTCTTTCATTAAAGAATTGATAGTTTTAAACCAGTGCACTTTTAGATTTAAACCTCAGCTGGATGTTTTCATTCACTTAGTGCTGTTACACACTGCATGGAAGCTCATTTTCAAAAACCCATAATAGGGGCTCTTTAAAATCGAAAGTCGCAGTATTGTTTATGTGCGTGTCAAAAACTTGATCGTTTTCTGTTGCCTATATTACACAGCCCTAGTGTACAGGTGTATATAAAGATCTTTCTTCACCTTGTCCTGAGACTGTTGCAGCATCTTTATATGCGCGGCAGCTTCCTGAACATGAACATCCTTTTCTTGCCACATAGTCAGTATCTGGGCGTTGAGCTGCTCTATCTGGGTTTCTGAGTTGCGAAGAGACTCCTGAAGCTTCTTGAGCTGCAAAAAACACACAGTAAGATTTAGATCAAGCATGCCTCATGGCAGAAAAGCTAAGAGGAAGGAAAAAAAACTCAGGATCTTACCTTCTGGTCGTTTTCTGCTGTTTCCTTTAGCAAACTCTCCTTGTCTTGCTCTAGTGATTTGTTTTTCAGAGTCTGACTTGTTAGTGCAGATTCAACAACGGTTAAATGCTGGAGCTGAGAAATAAAAGCAGTTCTAATGATTACTGACAACTCGGTTCTTCTTGTATATCCTAAAAAGTTATATCTTACCGCCTCCTTGGCAGTTTGAAGTTCCCTCTCTAGGAGCTCCTTCTCTTTCCTCCACTGTTCCTGGAGCCTCAGTCCGTGGTTCTCCTGCTGCTGTAGGTTTTCCTGCAGCTGTTTGGAGGACACAGCTGCTGCATCTCTCTCTTGACACACCTGTGCCAGCCTGTCTGTCAGCGTCTGCACTGCTCTCTGATCAGTACACAGTCGGGAGCTCAGTTCAGCATTCTCACTGCTAAGCTGCAGGTTTCTCGCACTGAGGTCAAGCACCTCCTCTCGACATTTGGAATTCTAGGTTGGAGAAGAAAAACAATATCACTAGGTGCAAGAAATAAAAATATTCAGTTTTCATTTAACGTTTCAACCAGTCAAACAGTGGAACTAATAAACTTTAGTAATTCCTGTCATCTTCGATAATATCCTACATCATAAAATAATATTCTATGGTAGTGCCAGGACACATCAAGCTGATGGTCTGTTAGGCTGGTTTGTTTGGTGTTCCACACATCATCTCTTCCCAGACATTTGCATTTGAGAAGGATCATCCAATTCAGCTTAAAGAGTTCACAGTTATTTGATGATAACTTATCATAAGCTTGTTTGGCATGCTGTCCCGGGAGAGAGCCCCGAGCTCAAGGGATCCTCGAGCCCAGGGATCCCTCCCGTTTGCAGGGCAAGAGGGGAGATTGAGCTCAAGTAGATTTTAAAAACGCACGCGTGTGCTCTGGCGCTGCCTTCACATGGTCGCATAGCCCTCGCCGTGGCCGACGCGCACCTCTCAAAAAATTTAACTACACGTTTCACGCTTCTCATCTCTCGGTCTCTCTCTCTCTTAAAGTACATCCATGTTGTAAATTTATATGTTGTCTATAGCTGTTTGTTACAATTATTAAACGCTTGAGCCAATGCAGATCGCTTGTTTTTACACACAGAACATGTTACTCAAACTCAAACATAGAGAAACAAGTTGTACTAATGTGTTAATGTAGTAAGATTAATTATTCTTCCAGACCAGGAAATTACTTGATCTTTGAATTAATAGACAAATAAATTGTAGGCTCTAACAGACGAGCAATTAAATTTAATGCAGTACTAGTTCAGCTACCATTAACAATAAAGTCAACCCAAATATTCATACTTGACTCATTATTATTAATTGTTAATATTCATAATTTTATGATCTTTTGTCGCTTGTGGCGTCTTCAGTTTCATGCTCCTGTGTCCTTTGCACTCACACTACAAGCGTACCGTGCTCAAGCACTCTGGACTACTTCCGACCCTGCCAGGGTCACCAAATCAAACCACGCCTGGGCATGGCACGGAGCATTTAACACCGGAAAATGGAGGTCAAACGTGCCCAGGCACGGTTCGGATAGCCTAGTGTAGGGGTGCCCAAACTCAGTCTTGGAGGGCCGATGTCCTACAAATGTCTAACCTCAATCAGACACACCTGTTCCAGCTAATCAAGCTCTAACTAGGCTTTCTAGAAACACCCGTGCAGATGTGTTGAGAAAAGTTGGAGCTAAAATCTGCAAGACACCGGCCCTCCAGGACCTGGCCTAGTTTGAGTACACCCTAAGATCATGGCCATCAACATGATCAAAGAGACCAAGCCTTTTTTAAACTGACTTGAGGTCTAGTTTATCAAAACTCCCATAATCCCTTGTAGGCACTTTCCACAGTCTATGTGATGATTGCTTCAAGTGTGAGTGGTCAATAGTTTGACTCAATCAAAATGCATAATTTACTACTCTAACAGAATATTTAGGTATGGATGGATGAATAGATGGGATGGTTTTAACCTCTTGAAATGTATTAGATTGTGAAAGGTAGTCAATAATAAAACTTGGTAAAACTGTACACATAATAATATAAATCATGAATATTTCTCCAAGCATATAGTCTTACCTCTTTCCGTAGCCTCTCTTCATCTTCTCGATTCTTCATATATCCTTTTTCCATTTCCTCAAGTTTCTTCCTAAAAAGTGATACAAAATTGTTTTGTTTTTTTTTACATAAAAAGTAAATTCAATTACAAAATGTGGATTGAGTTGACAATTCAGTGCAGATCATTCGTCTACCTCTTGTTGTTAACATCCTCCTCCAGTGACTTGACATCCTGCTGCAGGACAGCTAGCCTGTCTTTCAGTGCACAGTTTTCCGAAGTGACCTCATCAAGTTGAGCCCTAGAATTGGAAACCAAATTACTAAGTACCTTTTACCATCATCTCAACACTTAAATTCAGGAACAATGACTTGAAGCAAGATTTAAAACAAAGTAAAAACAAAATAAAACAATTGCAAAAGATTAGGGCAGACAACACAAACTATAAATTAATAATGCAATTAAGATGCAAGAAAACATTTTCAAATCAGAATACATACATTAACTTATTAATAGTGAATTTGCATGCATGTCAGTGACACTATCATTCAGTTAGTGGGATGCAGCATGACGCCTGAAAAATCGAAGCGCAGGTCTATGGTTAATAACATCTCATTCTGCAAAACATTTAGTCAAACATTCTTAGATGAAATCAAAATACTCTTGGCATCCGTACGGGAGAAACGACGATTGGATCAATGCAGCAATGGTTAGTCTTTTGGTTCTGTTTCGACGGTCATCTACCAGCTGGAAAACCACAAACCTGTGGGTACGGGTTGGGTCCATCTGCATTTCTAAAGCCAAGACAAGTTCCTCCATCTCCAGCAGCTGCTCTTTCATTTGGCTCTTCTCGCTTTCAAAGATCTCCTCCATCTGCTGAAGCTCTGTTTGAGAGTCCATCAGAGACTGCTGCAGTTGATTTGTTGTATTGTCAGCCTCTTCTCTCAGAGAGCAGAGCTCTTGCTCTTTATCCTCCAACTGATTGGATAAAAGTTGAACCTGAGATGAAAGTTGAGTGACATTCTTAAACAGGCTCATTTTCATCTGAACCTCTTTCCAGAGCAAATCCATCTCCTCGGCTTTGGCTTCCAGCTGATGATTGAGTTCCAGCATTTGGCTGTCCTTGATTTGGAGCTCCAGTGCCAGATTCCCTGCATTCTCTTTGTGTTTGGTAGATTCAGCCTCCATTTCAACAATCTGGGATGAAAGCTGGTTTATAAGTTGCTGGTAATTAAAGTTCTTTTGTTCAAGGTGACATCTTTCTTCTTGCTCCGAGATCAGATGGGCTTGGAGCTGTCCAACCTTACTCTCTTCGACGCGAAGAGAGCCTTGGAGGTTTTGCTCCATTGTGTGCATTTGATCCCACTCCTCAGAGAGATTATCGACCTGTGTTTGAAGCTGTTTGAGAACCTCACATTGACAGCTGAGCTCCTCTACAAGTCGATCTCGCTCAATTTCCACAGTATTCAACTCTGAAGCTTGTCTTGTGAGATCATCATCTCTGCTTTTCAAAGCCTCGTGCGTTTTGGCCAAGTTCTCTTGAAGCTCCTCAAGTTCTTTGCTTTGTGCTTTTAGCTGCATTTGCTGTTCTCCAAATGCAGTTGACAGATGACTACTGCTTCCCTGCATCATTTCAATCTCCTTCTGCCAGGTCTCGGATCTGGTCCTCCAGTCCTCTAGCTCTTTAGACAGATGTAAAATTCTGTCTAGAAGCTCCTGCTGCTCCTCTTTTTCTTTTACTAGTTGTTCCTTTAGATCTTGAATACTGCTGTCCGTTTCTTTCTGTAGTTGCTCTTTTTGTTTCAAAACCTCTTGCTTCTTTTCTCGTTCGGTTTTAAGCTTTTGTTCTACCTGAGAGAGCTTATTGCAAAATTTTTGTTCCTTCTCATTTCTAATGTCAATTTCTTTGTCTTTGGCATAAAGTTCTGAGGTCAAACGCTGAATGAGGGCATCCTGAGCTTTCATGGAAACGGTGTTGTCTTCCAGCTGAACGCACATCTCCTCCAGCTTATCTTCTAGCTGCTTTTGTATTATGAGCATCTCTTCCTCAGCCCTGGATGCAAGCTCTACCTGAGCTTCCAGGAACTGGATGTGTTCTCCTAGTTTCGTGATCTCCTCCTGGTGTTCCTCGTCTAGTTTCTTTCTTTCCTGAGCCACTTTATTGCAGATCTGAGCCTGCTCTTCATTCCAGCGCTCGTTGCAGAGGAGACGCTCCCTGCGCGCCTCCTGTTCTAGCTCCTTTACCCTTGATTCCCATGCACCAACTTCTCTGGAATGTTGCTCGCATTGCTCCTGTAGGCGGCTGCACTCCAGTTGCAGTTGATGCAGCAGGCTGCGCTGAGCCTCACTGTGTTGTTCCTTCATGTGCAATATCTGCTGCTCTGCCTTCTCCCTGGGATACAGCAACATGCTAATACATCTGTGTCTAAATTCATATCATGGATACCACAGGAAAAATCTATGTCTTCCATGCAGGCATGTTGGTTGAACACAGATCATGTAATATTTGTACACTAAAGCGATTCAAAGCATCGATCAGTTTAGAAGCGTTTCAGGACCTGGTGAATCTGCATTTCACTGCGAGGGTCTGAAAACACGTCTGACTCATATGGCCTAGTGGACTGTGTGTGTGCACGCTGTTACTGTGCTTCAAATGACTTTAGGGTTCGAATCCCGACTTGTACAAATACTGAGAAATCTTGATTTTCTGTATTATAATCATGTTTCTGTTTCATGGTATAGTCTAGATAGGATACAGCTGCGGACACACCATCAATTTAGCATCATTTTTGTAACACTGTAAAACAATAACTAATATTTTTACAGTACTGTGATGGTTGAGTTTAGGATATGTATATATAATACAAATAATTCTTGTTAACTTCTGGCCACAACCGTGTCTGATCTAGCAAAAACCTGTTTTATGACCAAAACAAGACCAATTTATTCAGTGTTTATTCGGATGTCAGTTCAATGTTGAAACAAAACAATAGAAGAACAAAGCATTACTAACTGGTATTAAAGCATTTCAAAATGGTTTTATCAGCCTGGATTCGAACCCATTATCCCCGGATGGTAGTCAGGAACCCTAAGCGCTCCACTAAATCACTTGAAAGTTTATCCTACAAAGTGGGGTTTAATACCTAAATTTGCTCAACTGTTCTTTGCTGAAGCTGTTTCAGTGCAATACATAAAAATGACCGTAGAAACGTTTCGAGACGTTTCAAAGCTTTGTGCTTCGTGCACTGAGTTTTATAACAGAAAGCTGATTGGCTATTGTGTGTTGACCTCTTTGTAGTTGTAATACCGCAAATTTCAATTGGACTAGTGAAATAAAGAACTACAACACCACGAAAACCAAGCAACAACAACCAAAAAGAAATTAAATGAGCATTAGATGTAGCGTTACATGAACAATCGCAAAAATAAGACCCGTGCAAAAATATTTAAGACCTAGAACAGAGTTTAAAACTTAAGGCCTTAAATTTCGATTTTTAAATTTTAGACTTTAAAGGGTCACGAAACACCAAAACACATTTTTTCAGCTGTTGACAGTCGTATATGTGTCCCACACTACTAAAAACACTATTAGGACACCTATATTTCACTAAAAAGTGTAAATTGGTTGTTTTTGCGTTTTTTCAAGCAAATTCGTACTTCCTGTTTGAAACGAATTTTTGAAGCTGCGTCACGGTCATGACATAATAGCGTTGTATTCCAGCGTGCAGACTGGACGTATGTGCCAGAGTGTGTCTTATTACGTCTTACAGTGTGATGCATTAATGCATGAGTAAGGCTTGGTTCAAACCAATCAGCGCGCTCTATTGTGCAACTTCATTAATATTCATTACTATCACAGTGTTTTCAGGACAGACGCCACGTTGTGTTGGCAAAACAAGCGTGAAGTGTTGCTTTTATAGTTTGCTGCCGTTAAGTTTCATTTTCTCTCCGTGAGAGTGCAGCTGGATCATGTGTGGATTACAGTGTACGCGACGCTCGACAACAATAACTTATGTGTCTAAGGAGGATTATTGTTTACCTGAGAGCTGTTCACATCTGCAAACGCTGAAATCTGGATTCGCTTGTAGTCTTCTCTTCATAAAGACGCGGCTCTAGTTGCTGGTGATTGTCCTGTCTCTACAGATTTGGTAAGTAAGCGACCAGTGCTCTTTGTTTATTCAGTTTGTTCGTAACGAATAAAGTTAACTATTGCACTGAGTGCAAACATAGCACCGCATTTTGTGACCGGAATAACACACGCGGCTTTCTGACGCTACCTGCCGTGTGTATCTAAGTTTCTGGGAAATGCGAAGGGTTTTTTTCTCTCATTCGCCGTGCGGTATCAAACATTGCATGAAAAATACACGCTTAGAGCAGTTACTCGAATCAAATATCGCGTATGTCGCGAGGGGCATGAATGAATTCCCTGAATGAAAGAGCCAAACTGCAGTTAAAGTCCAACATTTAATAATTTGGCAAATAATTCGACTACAGATGTCCATGTAGGTTAAACACCATCACTTTCTCATGTGTGTGTATTTTGACTGAAACTCGCGCGTGCCCAAATAGACACTCCCACACCATCCCACTTTAGTTCCTCCGACACTCCCCCCTAAACAGAGCTGGACACGCCCACTTTTCTGACTTTTTCCAAAGTAGAGGTGTGAAAACACCCTGCTGAAACGAGGGGGTTTCATGGCCCTTTAAGACCCCGCAGAAACCCTGCATATACAGTTTGTCTTGCATGCCAGCACTCTGTGTGTTTATTTTCAATACATCTCTTCACTGAAATTAAAATGAAAGCTGATTTATGAGTGCTTAGGGAAACACATTTGAGAAAAGTAATAAGCCGTTTTCATTTTCTATCACTAAAGATAGTTGTTTGTCATCTAGATCCTTCGCCATACCATTTTTGTGACACTTACCTAACAAGCAGCACTTCCTGGTCCATTCTGAGCTTGAGTTCTGCCTCCAGCTGATCTTTCTCTGAAGTGAGGCGCAGCACGAGGTTACTGATCTCACGAGCATAATTCTGCTCCAGTTCCGCCCGTTCCCTCTGAATCCTCTGTTCCTGCTCTTGACCCCAGGCACCTCCTGAAGTCTTACCCCTCAGCTCTGCTTCCAGCCGTTCAGTTGTCTGACGCATCTGTTCTGCACGCTCCTCAGCCCGAGCCTTCAGGTCTTCCAGCTCACTGATCTCCATCTTAAAGCACTGCGAGATGTCCTTCCGCTCAACCTCCATGTTCTGCCGCATCAGATCCATGCTGCGCTCATAGAAATTCACCTATGGAAATCAAAATTTTTTCTCCTTATTGATTTGGTTAGAGCAGGGGTCGGCAACCCAAAATGTTGAAAGAGCCATATTGGACCAAAAAAAACAAAAAACAAATATATCTGGAGCCGCAAAAAATGTAAAGCCTTATATAAGCCTTATAATGAAGGAAACACATGCTGTATGTATCTATAGTAGCTATATTAGCCTACTATAAAAATGACTAAGTTGGCTACAAATACATAATGAGCCTTCATGATTAAATAGCCACTGAAATCAGGTGGTTAGTGTTTATTTTGTTGTCATTTAAACACTGCAGCACAGCCTCTGGTCTTTCAGTGGTATTAAATTGATCATTTCTTCTTGCGGCCCATCAGAGTTCACATACCTGCATAAAAGCGCGTTGAATATCGGTCACATCACAGGCAATTGAGTATGCTGGCACTGAATTAATGTCCTTGGTTTGCTGATTGGTGATGTTACCTGCCATTTTAATAGCCCTTTCCTTCACTGTCTTAGCGGAGAGAGGTATATCTTTAATTTTTTGTATTATCTTGGTTTTGTTTTTGAAGTCTGCAAATAGGTGTTCTAATATGTTGATGAATGACTCCTTCATGTAGTCACCACCAGTTTTCCATGCTTTATTATCTCCCGGGTTGTTTACAACAGCCACCTGCCTGGCATCCCGCCCTGCTGATGGAAACCTGTGTCGCAGGCTATGACACAAATCTTCGTTGATAGAAATGTTGAAATTAAATATTAATTCTACACACTTTTACAGCATTTGAAAATGTCAAATTTTTTATCCTCCTATAGAAATCATATTAAAACAAAAATATATCCTAACCTTCCCCATCTTTTTGAACATTTTAGAAAAAGCTCCAGGGAGCCACAAGGGTAGCGCTAAAGAGCCGCATGCGGCTCTAGAGCCGCGGGTTGCTGACCCCTGGGTTAGAGAATACAGGGTTTCCACTCTCTCATAGACATCAAATTCAAGGACTTTTTAAATAAAGCACATTAACACCCCTAGCATATGTAGGGCCATGAAAGTATGTCCTGTACTTAACATTTCCCTTATGCCCGATTCACATAGGGCTTCATTGTCAATGCTTGAAAGAGGGCGTGTCTGAAGTTGGGGCTGATGCGATCGTCATAGCAGCATCAGCCAATGAAATTAGTCAGCAATAGGTCACTGTCTGAGCTGGTGTATTTGCATAAAGCAATCTGATTGGCTGACGCTTTCATTGGCGCTTAAAGTTGAGAAAGTCCCAACTTGTGCAGCGAGCAACGCCACTGAAGCGGCGCCGATGGATAAACAATCCAGTTCAACAACGCCTGACGCCACCTATTCAAAGTGAATGCAAAGCGTTGACGCTGATGCCCTGTGTGAATGGGCAGGTGCAGTATGCAAGTTTGACACCCAGTGGTTGGAATAGGTATTACACAACTGGTTCAAACATGTAAGTGCAGGTTGCCAGATTGATGACATCAACAGAAGTGTGCCAAACTATGAGCCTAAAGGCTGATTTACGGTTATAGTCTAAATAAAAGAAATGGCATGCGACAAAAACGATTAAATTTATATTTTAGACATGGCTTCTATTTCTTGCCGCTGAACAACAAAGATAACCTGACAAGGTTTACATCAGGTACACCTCATGTGCTTTATTCCGTGTAAAAATGCTAATAATTTGAGTTATCACTGTAATTCTGGTCATGTAGTGTGTTGTTGGGACACGGGGGTTCAATGTAACCTGCTCACATAATGTTTTTGTTCGTAATATTTATATTATGTACTAATTAATAACCACTACATGTGGAACTCTGAGTCTCATTTCGGGGTTGTTACAGTCCACCTGAGGTCGCATTTCAGTCACGGACACATGCTTTGAGAGCCTTCCTGACTGAGGCCCCGTATCCATCAATACGTTTTAGTTTTAAAACATGCAAGTTTTGCTATGGTGACGCCATCCGTCCACACTACGCCAGAGTTTGAGCACCGACAACAGAGCTTTTTTAAAACGCTGAAGAGGCTGTTTTTATTTTAAAATGCTGCTGCTCCATCTCAGTGTGGATGGGGGAAAACGAAGACATCTGAAAATGGAGGTGTCCGATTTGATTAGGGCTTTTTCCTCAATATTAAGTAGCCTGCACAATGTTCAGCCTTCACAAGTTTAATATGGAAAACAAACTCCAGAGGACATGTCGGGTAAATCTTCCAAGGGAACAGTGTACTTTACAACCTCATTCACATCACCCTGTCTACCGTATCACTTTATTAACAATGAAATGAAAACATGAAATAAGGAACTGCCTATTTTAACTTTGATATGGACTTAACAGAAACCAAAAATGTTAAGGCATCATGTAGCTACATATACGAGCGTCATCTTTACTGTATGCATGTTTATAACAAAACAGAGCCTATAACATTACATTATTGCCATTTATAAATTTAAATGATATTTTTATATAATGGCCATTATAAAAGTATAACGTACAATAGGTTTATACGTTATAGGAAATAAATGCAAGCAATCAGTCAAATGTACAGAATCAGTGTTTGCGGTTATGTTAGTTAATTTATTAACTTATCTTTGCACTTACCCGAAGATATAAACGACGATGGATTATCACATTTAACAAATATAGTGAGATTAGATGCAGCGGTAGATCCTTGATGAACAGCCTGAAGTGCGCTGCTCTTATATGGATAGATGTGATCAAAGCACCTCAGACGCACGCTTGCGCTACAATGCATGCCAGATGCGCTACAATGCATGCCAGAGTGTGTGTGTGTGGTCACGTAATGTGCGTTTTCAGCTGTATAGTGTGAACTGAGATCTGTTGAGAAATGCTGGGTGAAACGCCAGTGTGGACGCCGATAATTTTCATTCTAAAATGTCGTTTTAAAACTAAAATCAAGGCAACCCAGGGTGTTGAAACATAATTGGCTAAACTGGTAGTGGGTGGGTTAAAAGAATCAAAATAAAGACAGCCGTTCTGGCACATAACACATTTTCAAAGCAGAATATCTGACTATTTCTCTTAGCATGTTTCTTGAATATCTGTAAATATATTATGGTATTTTTATGCTTTAGAAGAGACAAAAACTTACACACAGCACCTTTAATACTTACATTAAAATGTTTCAAATTAAATAATGTTACAGATTGAAACTATCATGTTCAAATAACTTTAATACAATTAGCTGAATTTTATAGAGCCAATATTCAAATATGATTTCTGAAATAAAGATAAAATGCATAATTTGTCACAGTTCTTGTTTAAAACTTTAAATTTAACATTTTTAAATTAAGAATTTCATAGTTCGGTTTTTGAGAGCAGCACATTACAATTGTTGAAATAAAACTCCACGCATTTTAAATTCACGTATTTAAGGAACTAGGTTTGTTTTAAATACTTTCCAGGCATTTAATTCATATGTCTAAAATTCAAGTACTTTCAAGAAGTTTAAAAACCCTGAGAATGTGTTACCAATTCCCCAGCACATGGAGATATGGATTTTTAACAGAAAATCTGTCTGGACCTAACAGTACTGAACAAGAGCAAGCGTTCTGTTACACTCCATAAGGATATAATTGTACCTGGCAAAATTATATGTCTAGAAGCATTTGCACATCACAGCTTTTTTTCCCCCTCAGCTCTGACTGTTTGAATCCAGTTTTATTTGGAAAGCGTACATGTAATAAGCCTATAATGTTTCTGTGTTATGACTAGGGCCAGACAGAATCTACAGACATTTTTTGCTATTTCTATGCAGAACTCTGCAGAATGATTTTGGAAGTATCATAACTAAAAACTGAAAATATATTAAATTTAAAAATATATATTTTACATTTTTATTTATTGTTTAAAATGCAAATGCAATTAGATCCACTTTATTTGGCAAACAAGGAAAGTCTCTTATAATATATCTACTAAAAGACAGAAAATATTACTTTACAAACTGTATTGTAAATAAATCATGTTAATCAAATTAATATAAAAACTGAATAAAAATACATTTACACAAGTAAATAGACTCAACGATGGGCCAAAAATCTGCGTGCGCAGATTCTGTGGGTCAAGTTATGACTGTAGCCCTGTACCTTAGTCTCAAGCTGGATCTTCAAGTCCTGAACCTCTTGCTCATATCTCTCTTTCATCTTCTCCATGGCCAGTTCTGTCTCAATGCTGACAGGGGGAGCCAAACTCTCCAAAGAACCCAACACTAAAGAGATACACCAATGACAATATGACATCTGTAAAGATGTATTTTATAGGGAAAGAATAACCCTGTTTTCATAACTCCTTACCATTTTTGTCAGTAACTTGGAGCTTTTTTCTGACTTGAGGAGATGTACCTTTCTTCATTTCAGGATCATCTGCAAAACACAAAAAGAGCAATTTTATTCAATAGTTTACTAAAATAATAAAGTTGGACAACTTGAAAAGATGGTGGCTCATTGATTTATTTATTTATTTATTTACAAAAGAATTTAATTCACCAGAATCTGATTCGGTAGTTAATGCTCTTCGGTTTGACCAGTCGTTAGCAGGAAGGCTACGACTGGAGAGTCTGGTTCTCTTTCCGGAGCCCTGAGACTTCAATAACTCCAGCTCGGAGCATAACTCGTCATTCCTGTCCTGCAACTCCTGCATTTAGTGGGGCGGAGACACAGAGTCATTTGCACATATTCTGCACTATTTCCTGAAACTCTGAAATACAAGGGTGAATGGGAAAATTCCTTGCCACAAGCATCATCACATGGAATGTCAAAAAACAACAACAAAGAGCTTACTAATAGGTGTGTCTGCAAATATTGTAAAAACCAAATAAAAGTTGTATAAATTTTGAAGTATAAAAAAGGTGAGCAGTTAAAAAAAATAAATATGGGGAAAATAGTTATCACTATACTACAGCAATTTAAGCAGGGTAAGTAAGTCTTATGTTTCCATCCAACTATTTTTATGCGCATTTTGGATATGC